AGATCAAACCCGATCGACAGTATAATTATGCTCTTGTTTCACGAAGGAAACAATTGCAGAAGCGACAATCACGACCAAGCGAGATTGTGGCTCTTCTCGAGATTAAAACCAAGTTTAATCCGGAGGAAAGAAGGGGAGAGAATCACAAACCTTTCGAAGGGGCTTTCTTTATGAAAGTATTCGCCAAGCTCTGATGATTCTCCTCTGAAATTCGTGGTTAACTGGACAATTTGACAGCACCTCGCCTTCTCAATCTCAGATCCTCTTTAAAGAAGACCCTAGGCTTCTATTTATAGGCTTTTGGAGATGTCTCTTGATGTTTAAACGTCATCTACAGTTTATAACTGTCTAAACGTGTTTAGGGATAACCTCCAAACAGTTAGAGAGGTTCTGGGACGAAAGAATCCTTAAAAATCATCAAAATCTATGTTTGGGGAGGTTTTGTATTCAGTAAGCTAGAGTCCTGGTGGCTCGGAACTATGCGAGTCGCCATTTGGTGGCTCGGAACTATGCGAGTCACCATTTGGTGGCTCGCATAGGTGCGAGTCACCATTTGGTGGCTCGGAACTATGCGAGTCACCATTTGGTGGCTCGGAACTATGCGAGTCACCATTTGGTGGCTCGCATAAGTGTGAGCCACCAATTGGTGACTCGCGCCTACACGGGCCTCCAAGTGGTGTTTCGTTCACTTTTTTGATACTTTGGTGATTTGTAATTCTTCCAGTTCCCTTGTTTTGCGTACACTTTGTCGCTTTGCTGACTTATGCATTCTATTGATCTAATTCATACACTTACTGATGTTGGATAAATTCCCTTGACTTGGATAATAACGTTTATCGTCTTTTCCTTGTCTTGAACTGTGTTTAAGGACCTATAGGCAAATTTTAACGCCTACAACTACTATATGAAAAGACATGATTGCCAACAAAGAAATAAGCATACGCTTGCACCAAAATATCTGCGTGCATCACAAAATACAATCCAACCAACAACTGATATATGAGTGAATCATACAAAATGATATAATCCATTCAGAACAAATCCACATATACTTGATATGATTTTATTTGAAAAATACGCAGCATAAAATGCATAAATTCACCACTTACATTAATTAACTTCATAGACAATCCCTCGCATAGGTGCGAGCCACCAATTGGTGACTCGCGCCTACACGGGCCTCCAAGTGGTGTTTCGTTCACTTTTTTGATACTTTGGTGATTTGTAATTCTTCCAGTTCCCTTGTTTTGCGTACACTTTGTCGCTTTGCTGACTTATGCATTCTATTGATCTAATTCATACACTTACTGATGTTGGATAAATTCCCTTGACTTGGATAATAACGTTTATCGTCTTTTCCTTGTCTTGAACTGTGTTTAAGGACCTATAGGCAAATTTTAACGCCTACAACTACTATATGAAAAGACATGATTGCCAACAAAGAAATAAGCATACGCTTGCACCAAAATATCTGCGTGCATCACAAAATACAATCCAACCAACAACTGATATATGAGTGAATCATACAAAATGATATAATCCATTCAGAACAAATCCACATATACTTGATATGATTTTATTTGAAAAATACGCAGCATAAAATGCATAAATTCACCACTTACATTAATTAACTTCATAGACAATCCAATCCAATTCCCGACGATTCGACAGTGCCTCTAGAATTTCCTAAAGATTTAAATTCAAACAACCGTCAATACAATCCTCCTGTAAACAATTGATACGTTAACAAGCCTATTTAGAAGATCATAATATATTACTAAAATTTAGCAAACTAGTTTCTGTTTTTGCTCGCTACAAAAAAACAAAAGAACCTATAGCTTCCATCTAAAACACAAACAACTAATATTCTATATTAATTCTATAAGTTACCTGCATGCAAGCATCTTTGTTAATTTATCATATAAGATGATATGAGGTATAGGAGTTACAAGAAAACTAAGTGCTGCACTGTACCTATCATTTGACAAAAGTATTGAAAGGTCATGGATTAATAAGCCTTCAGTTTCAAAACACATTGATAAGCAGCGAGCGCCGAGATCCAGTCGATGAAGGGGACAAGTCTTTGTACAGGAGTTTCAAGAAACCACTTGATTAATTAGAATATGCTTTAGCATGCATAAGAATTAAATGTAAAATATGTCAGGCCCATGCATGTTCGATTCACACAAACAAACAATTAACACAAGGCAATTATAATTAATTAAGACTGCTCAACATATGACATATTGACATTATACGTAAATATATCCTCATATCTATATATGTATGATCGATGCTAGAGATAGGATTGAACGCCCTACGTTTTTTCTTTTGTCGCCGTGGAGAAAAGAACGAGAGAGATAAATGAAGAGGCGGCGAGATAAAATTTACACAGGAAAATATTTACACTAAACCCCTCGAGAAAAGTTCTACTACACTATTAGTGTGGCTGTTATCATTATAGCCGTTTAAACCCTCTTGTAATCTAATATTTACAACCAACATTTAGTAGTTTGTATAAACACCAAATTACTCTTTGTAGACCGGAAATTAAGGTTGTTACAGGTAAATGCAGAATTAAGCAACATGTTCCTGCTTTCATTTCATGTTTCAATTTAGAGAAAGGCCCCAAAGTACCTTTTAATAGATGTTTTTGTTAGACTAAACATTGTAAAATGAGATTTTGCCTAGATTGTACTTTGACATGTAAAAGTTATCTGAAAGCAAGTACGTACATAATTGATTTCCTTTCTTGGACAGAATCAGAGTTGCTTTCATTGTACTATATGTGCTCTATTTGGACCAATTAAAATTAATGTGGGTTCATGAGTACTTCTACAGATGATCATGATATTTTCTTTCTCGCTTTAGGAAGAACAACAATATTGCTAATCCTACATAGATAATTTGACACGTATATCGACACAAGTCACAAGCAAAAGGAAAATGACATGTTTTCAGTTAAAATTCTTTAAGGTTAATTAGCTAGTTATTAACTGTCGATGCTAACACTTATTGGAGATACTCGTAGAGTTCTCTAGAGAAAATAGGATTATAGCTATCTATTAATTCTTTTTTTTTTCCTTTCTCGTTTTCTTTTGGAACAAATGTCTTACCCTATATCAGTTTTTACCATCAGTAAAAATTAATCTGACATGTTTTCAGTAAAAATTCTGTAACTAGTCTTTCTAATCTTAAATCTGGCTGCAATACTTTCTTTGTTATTCACATATCAGTTTTTGTCACATGAATCCAGTTCATGTACCACACTTTAAACTGAGAAAACTTCTTGTTTGGATGATTCACGGAATTACTGAATACATCATTATTTAAACCTCATTTTTACCATCAGTACTCTGTACAGTTAATTACAGTATTGCTGTAAAGCTGAAGGTAGCATTTTAGAAAAAAGACCGCCCACTTGCCCCTCGTCAACTACGACAAAAACAATGTGCATTATAATCTGAAAGCGATTGAAAACATACCCATTGCCGTTTTGAACCAAATCCAACACGTACACTTGTATACCTTAAAGTATAAATATCTGTTGTGGGTTTCATCATCATTTGCCTGCGCTAGCTAAATTTGAGTTCTTAGTCGTGGAACACCTTTTTCTTACGTTTGCCTTGCTTCTGATACAAGATTTCACTTTCTACTCCCTTTCAGCTGCTTCACGTGGCCCATCATCATGGGGGGGGGTTCTACAATGGGATCCATAGAAATTCATAAAAAAGATATAACGATCAGAGGCGTCTTAGTATAGATTAAAAGTTGGTGGTTGATCTGGTACTTTAATATGATTGCACTGATTTAGCATGGATGATTGTATTAATATGACATTGTAATTTGTCTGATATTGATTGTACTGATATTTTGCGTCCAACGTGTTTTTACAAACATGACTAATACTTGTCATTGGGCCAACAAAAATTCAGACAGCTGTAGGCAAGGGGCTGTTTGGTTGGTTTCCTAAAAACCAAGAATAGGAAATTAGAGCTTGAAAATATCAAAAAGTGCAATTTTCATCATTTCCATCTCTAAAACTTCCCAAAACATCTAATAAAATATTATTTTTATCCAACAACTCATCCACATCATCTAATAAAATATTATTTTTATCAAACAACTCATCTCATATCATTCAATAAAATAAATCAAACAAAAGAAATGTGTCACATCATCCAACTCATCTCATCTCCATCTCATCTCATCTTTAAAAATCACTCACATCATCCAATAATATGGTGACAACTCATCTAATTTCATTAACATTTCATCTCCACTCATTTCCTCCAAAAAAACAAGGAAATTTATTTCCTTAAGTGTGAGTCACATCATCCAATAATATAATGACAACTCATCTCATCTCTTATTTTTAAGAATGAACCAAACACAAGAGAAAAACCTATTATAGGAAATAAGTTTCATATTCTTTGATTTCCTTCTTTTTTTAGCCAACCAAACAACATCAAAACAAGTTTTCTTAAAAACTCACTCACATTATCCAATAATATAGTGACAATTCATCTCATTTCATTTCCTATTATTTGATTTTCTTCTTTTTTTAGCTAACCAAACAATCTCAAAACAAATTTTTAAGAAAATATATTTCTTATTCTTTGATTTCTTTTTTTTGGGGGCAAACAAACAGCCCCTAATATGACTACAGTCTTGAGTATGACGTGGGACTCTAATAACAAAAAAGAAAAGAAAAGAAAAGAAAAGAAAAAGTAAGTAAAATAAAAGGAGGGTGAGCAAACAGACAACAATCGATGGCCCAAGGAAACAGCAGCACTACTCCGTAGTTTTTCTGACTCCGCAGTGCTTTTTGATATTGTACACAATCCAATCGCAAGTCCTTTTCTTTCCTTTCTTTTCTTTTTTTCTCGGAATCCGTATCATTAATTATTGTACCATTTTTTAAATCATCAACAGTGTTTTTCGCTATATAAACCCTCTCCCGTTTATCTTCTGCTTCTTGTACCTCTTGAGTTAAAAAAAATAAAAATAAACACAAAACAAAAGGAAAAATAATGCCTACGGATTTCTTGTTCTGTACTTTCATTTCCTTTTGCTTTTCTTTCGCCTTTATTTCATGACCAACTTCAGAGATCCGAAGGAGAATAATTAAGTTGCTGATTTAATCTGGGTGCGTTCGGTAGCCTGTGAGGAACAATTAACATCAAGTTAACCCACAACTCCCATTTCTCTGGATTCTTGCTCTTAGAGCCTAAATCCTTTCATGGGTTTGTTAAATGATCTTGGCGCTTTCTAGGGAAACCTCAAAGATCTCATCTTGCCCATTAAAGCCCCCACAATTCTTCAGAAAATGGTGATGAAAGAAGAGAAATCGTTCGAAGACATAGAAGCCGGGCCCCACCTCGCTTCTCAAGCCGCCGGCGAGAGCGAAAGCAGTCTCTACTTCTCCGACGCCGATGATGGGTCATGGCAATCTCCGTACAACTCATACTGTGATGATTTCCGATGTTCTAGGGCTTCGAGTGATGAAATTGATGGGTTTGATGATGAGCCCTGCAGGAGCTCGTGCATCTCATCAGAATGTTCATTTGAGGTTGATTTGGAGGGCGGGAGTCCAGATACGGTTGTGAATTTGGAGAGAAATGAGAAGGATTGCAGAATTTGTCACCTAGGGTTAGAGAGCAATGCGGCTGAATCGGGGGTCGCAATTGTTTTGGGGTGTTCTTGCAAAGATGATTTGGCTGCTGCACATAAGCAATGTGCTGAGACTTGGTTCAAGATAAGAGGAAACAAGTAAGAAAATATATATACTAACCCCTGTAACTTAATTTTGTTGTTCATTTTTTTTTGGGGTGCATTTCGCTAAGTTGGCAATGGATATTGCTGGTTTTACCTATTGATATCATAATGCATATTAGGAGAAATTTTTTTAGACATAAATTTTAGAATAGGGTGGAAATTAGGATGGATTTTGAGATGGTTTATGGAATTATATTGTGGAGGCTGTAAGCGTCTAAAAATACCTATAGGTGTCCGCACGCAACTCGAGGTGAAGAGAAGACGATGAACGTCATCATCCGAGTCATGAAGGATTATTCGATTGGCCGCTGCGCACATCAATCAGCTCGCGCACGTCAGTCAACGCGCGCACGTCAGTCAACGCGCACTCGTCAGTCAGCTCGCGCACGTCAATCAGCTCGCGCGCGTCGGTCAACTCAAAGTGACCGAACTTACTTGTCAGGCGGCTCCAAGTGCCTAACGGGCTTGTCAGGCAGCTCCAAGTGCCCGCCGCCCTTGTCAGGCAGTTCCAAGTACTTGACGGGCTTGTCAGGCAGCTCCAAGTGCCTGACGGGCTTGTCAGACAGCTCCAAGTGCCCGCCGCCCTTGTCAGGCAGCTCCAAGTACCCGCCACGTTTGTTGGTCAGATCCAAAGTGCCCGACGCGTTTGTCGGTCAGATCCAAAGTGCCCGACGCGTATGTCGATCGGTTCCAAGTGCCGTAAAGAAGCTAACGAGCGCATGAAGTAAGTTAGCAAATCGTACAAGTCAACAAGATGATCAAATACGTAAAACGACAGAAAATACAAGTTCCGGAAAGTCGAGAAAACAACGAGAAATTCAGCAAAAGGCCAAACCCCCGCGCCCCCTGCGGGTCAGCAGCGCCCGTCACGCAGATCCGAGCCCCAAACACGTTTTTGACGGTTTTGAGCGGTTTTCTCAGGATTTATCTATTCCAGGGGTTCCCAACTGACTTGATATCATCCACAAACATGGTTAGGTTATTATTAACTGAAGATATGACCAAATCCATTATTCTTATCCGAAAACCCCTTAACCGAAGTCTATAAATACAGGCCTAGGGGTTCATTTCACGGGGAGGAGATAAAGAGGGCGAAACGTTGTCGAATTGAAGAGTGGAGCCACGAATTTACAGCGAGGGTTAGCAGATCTTAGCGAGTTCTTATGCATAAAGAGTGGAGTTCGAGAGATCTGAGACCCGTACCCTATTCCTCCGGATTTAAGCTTAGTCTTAATCTCGAGAAGAGTCGTAATCTCGCTTGGTCGAGATTATCGTTGCAGCGAATACTTTTTTAGTGAAGTAGGAGCTTTGATTCCATAATCTGTCAACCGGATCTGATCCGCGATGGTCCATGGATATCAACGTTCCCGGCACAGGCAAAGATCCCACGCAAGCAGCGGGTGATAAACGTTCGTTGCGCTGTTTGACAAGAGTTGTATTTTTTGTATTTTTATTGTATAAGGAGATCTTATAAAAAGATCGACATTTTCTTGTTTACTTGAGTTTATTGTAACGACCAAAGTTGTAATAGATTCGATGGTAATGAAAACATCAACTTTTGACCCAAACAGAGGCCGGTGCACTTTTAGAAGCTAGAAGATAAGAATTTCGTACATGGTTCGGCAAGATACTTGCATTCGCGACCAGACTGGAGTTTCTTTTGTTTACTTGCTAAAGTTACAATTATAAGAGAGATTTCCCTTATATATAATGAAGATTATGACTTAAAGCTACATATAGAGTTATCAATTTACCCATCTAAGTATCATATAAATTTCAAATATTTTTGAGCATTTTAGTTTGTTCCGACCCAATAACATATGCGTACGGATATTTAAAAATTTGCGATTTCATAGGTTATAATTCATAATTTTTGTTCATTTTTTGTTGGTCTCATTCCTGTGAAACTAAGTACTTCAAAATTCATCTTTTTTCATTTGTTTCCACCCTAATGGAAATTAATTAGACATAATAAAAACATTACAATTTTCATGGGCTATCACCTGTGATTTTGTCCATTTTTATTCATTTTCGCTCAATGACAACTAAGTATGTATACTTCAAAATATCGCGATTTTCGTGGGCTATATATATAACGTACGATGCTTATCCAATTTTGTTTGTTTTGACTAAACAATATTTAAGTATGTGTACTTCAAAATTCCTATAATAGTTGATTTTTGTTCGTTTTGTTTGTTTCAAAAAAAGAAAATCAAGTATGTACACTTCAAAATTCGTGATTTCATGACTTATAATCAGTGATTTTTGCACACTGTTGTTTACTTCGACCCAATTACAATTAAGCGATTTCAAGGCTATAATCTGTGATGTTTGTTGATTTCTGTTCGTTTCGATCCAATGATAGTTAAATAAGCATACTTTCAAATGCACGATTTTCATGGGCTATAACTAATTTTTTTTATTCATTTTGGTTCACTTGGATCCAATCACAATCAATTATCTGCACTTCAAAAGTCTTGATCTTCATGGGCTCTAACTAATGATTTTTGTCCATTTTAGTTCATTTCAACCCAATAATACATGAGCACAAATATTTTAAAATTCTCAATTTCACGGATTATAATCCATGATTTTGTCCATTTTTGTTCGTTTCAACCCTAATGACAATTAATTATGCATATTTCAAAAATTGCATTTTTTTCATTAATTTAGATTTTGTCTAGTTTTGTTTGTTTGACTAGTGGCAACTAAGTATGCATGCTTCAAAATTTCATGATTTTTATAATCTGTAACCTATGATTCTTGTCCAATTTTGTTCATCTCGACCAAATAACATTTAATTATGTATACTCTAGAATTCACGATTTTATATACTATAATTGATGATTTTGTTCATTTTGTTAGTTTAAGAACAAAGAAATTAAGTAAGTGTACACCAAAATTTGCAATTGCATGAGCTACAACTCATGATTCTTGTTCATTTTTTGTTTCGACCTAATGACAATTAAGTATGCTATTTTCAAAATTTGCAATTTCAAGGGCTATAATCCATGATATTTGTTCATTTTCGTTCGCTTCGACTCAATAACAATTAAGTATGTGTAGTTCTAAACTCACTATTTTCATGGGCTATAACCCATGATTTTTGTCCATTTGGTTCGTTTTCACCCCATGATAATTAATTATATGTACTTCAAAGATCGCAAATTTAATGGCTACAACCAACATTTTTCCTATATTTGTTCATTTCAATCCAGTGACAACTACGTATGAGTACTTCAAAAGTTTTGGTTTTTATGAGTTTAAACTTTGATTTTGTCCATTTGTGTTCATTTTGACCTAACAATATATAAGTATAAATATTTCAAAATTCACAATTTCATGGGTTAATCTACAAGTTTAGTTGATTTTTGTTGGTTTTGACCAAATAAAAACGAAGTATGCATACTTCAAAATTCACAATTTTCATGAACTTTAAAATATGATTTTAGTCCCTTTTCGTTCACTTTGACTCTAATGATAATTAATGATGCCTACTCTAAAATTTGCATTTTTCATTTGGTAGCACCTATGATTTTGTTCATTTTTGTTCCTTCAACCCAATAACAACTACGTATGCATCTTTGAAAATTTTACAATTTTAACAAGCTATATAGCTCATGATTCTTGTCTAATTTAGTTCATATTGACCAAAGGGCATTTAAGTATGGGTAAATCAAAATCCATGATTTTTATGGACTATAACGATGGTTTTTATTCATTTCTATTAGTTTCAAAACGAATAAAATTAAGTATTTGTACTTCGAAATTCGCGATTTCAAAATTTATAACATGTGAGTTTGGTCAATTTCTTTAGTTTTGACCCAATGAAAATTAAGTATGTGTATTTTGAAGTTCACAATTTTCATGCTTTAATCCAAGGTTTTGGTCCCTTTTTGTTCATTTCGACCATAATGATAATTGATTATGCGTACTTTAAAAATCATAATTTTCATGGACTATAACCTATAATTTGTCCATTTTTGTTGCATTCACCCAATGACAACTAAGAATGCATAACTGAAAATATCATGATTTCCCTAGGCTTATAATCCATAATTCTTGTCCAGTTTCTTTCCTTTTGACCAAATAGAATTTAAACATGCACGTGATTTTATGGGCAATAATTGACAATTAGTTTTTTGTTTTTATAGCTTCGAACCAAAGAAAATTAAGTATGCATATTTTGAATTTTGCGATTTCATGAGATTGAAGTCTTGATTTTTGTCTATTTTTATTTGTTTTGACCAAATAACAATTAAATGCGCACATTTCAAAATTTGTGATTTCAAGTGCTATAATTGATGAACTTTGTTCATTTCATTTCATTTCAATTCAATGACAATTAAATATGTACACTCTCAAATTTACAATTTTCACGGGTTATAATTAATAATTTTTATCCATTTTCCTTTCGACCCAATCACATTCAATTATGTATACTTCAAAAATCGATTATTTATGGTCTATAACCCACATTTTTTCCATTTTTGTTCGTTTGGAACCAATAACAATTAAGTACGTGTACTCTAAAAGTATTGATTTTCATGGGATCTAACCCATGATTTTTGTTTATTTTAGTTTGTTTCGACTCAATAGCATATGAGTATAAATATTTCAAAAGTCACACTTTCATGAGTTATAATCCATGAATTTTGTCTAATTTTGTTGAATTCCACCCAATGAAAAATAAGTACGCATGCTTCAAAATTCTAGAATTTCATAGGGTTCTATCAACTTTTTTTTCCATTTTTCATTCATTCAGACCATAATGGAAATTATGCGGCACATCAAATTTCATAGGCGTAAGCTATGATTTTGTCCATTTCCGTTCGATTTGACCCAATAACAACTAAGCATGCATACTTTAAAATTTTATGGTTTTCATGGGATGTAACTCATAATTCTTGTCCAATTTCATTTGTTTCGACCTATGATATTTAAGTATTAGTATTTTAAAATTCACGGTTTTGTAGGCTATAATCCAAGATTTTTGTTCGCTTTTATTAGTTTCAACCTAGAGAAATTAAGTATATGTATTTCAAAATCCACAATTTCATATGAGCTATAATCCATGATTTGTTTTGACCTAATAACAATTAAGTATGTGTATTTTAAAATTCACGACTTCAAGGGCAATAATCCATGATATTTGTTCCTTTTCGTTCATTTTGACTCAATGGCAATTTAATATGCATACCTTCAAATTCATGATTTGAAGGGGCTACAACTTACGATTTTTGTCCATTTTGGTTCATTTGACCCACCCACAATCAATTATATGTACTTAAAAATCACGAATTCATGGGATATAATCCACTTTTTTTTTATTTTCTTTCATTTTGATCCAATGACAATTAAGTATACGTGTACTTCAAAAGTCATGATTTTCATGGACACTAACTTATGATTTTTGTTCATTTTGATTCAATGGCATATGGGTAAGTATATTTCAAAATTCACAGTTTCATGATTTTTATTGCACGATTTTCTTCATTTTGGTTGGTTTTAACCTAATGACAACTAAGCATGCATACTTGAAAATTTTGTGATTTTTCTAGGCTATAATCCATGATTCTTGACCAATTTTATTTGTTTTGGTTAAATGGATTAAGGCGTTGGTGAAAAAATTTACGAAATTCTGGCTATAGCCCATAATTTTTGTTCATTTTTGTTAGTTTAGACCCAAAAAAATTAAGTATAGATACTTCAAAATTCACGATTTCATGAGCTAAAATCCTAACATTTGTCTAGTTTAATTCATTTCTACCCGATGCTAATTAAGTTTGTGTATCTCAAAACCCACGATTTCAAGGGTAAATATCCATGATGTTTGTCCATTTCCATTCGTTCCAACTCAATAGCAATAAAATATGCTTACTTCCAAATTCATGATTTTTGTGGGCTATAACTCAAGGTTTTTGTTTATTTTTACCCTATGACAATTAATTTTATATTTTATAAAAATCACGATTTTGTTCATTTTCAATCATTTTAACCCAATGAAAACTATGTATGTGTACTTCGAAATTCACAATTTTATTAGTTTTTAATCCACTGTTTTGTTCTAGTTTTGTTCATTTTGATCCCAATAGCATTAATTATTCGTATTTAAACGATCACAATTTTCATAGGTTATAACCTACAATTTGTTCATTTTTGGTGAATTTGACTGAAT